AAGCTTAAATCTCATAACATTATATATTTATTTATTATTTTTATTATAACAATCTTTCAGCTGTGCTTGACTAACAATACAGAAGTTACAATGACGCAGCTCACGTGCACTCATGTTACCATATCAAATAACATAAAACTGACTTTTGGTCTGTACAAAGTAACTTATCGTGACTGTGTTATAGTAGACTAGTATTTTGTAAAATACAGTCAAATTTCAATTATTATACAATATATATGTATAATAAATATATATATATAAATTTCCCTTCATATCTATCAAATATTCAAAACTGACTGACTCACTGGTGATTTTGTATTATTACAATAGAAATTTTTTACAGTACAAAACAAGAGTTGTAATATCAAGTAGCTAAGTCAAGTGTTTTAAATTTTTTGTATCATTTAAGAATTAGGTAAAGCAAGCAACAGACCATGGTAAAGTTTAACCTTATAGTTGTTTCTTTAATTTCATATCTCCCTCATGTCAGATGCAACTGGTTAGGGAGAGACTGGGACAGTATTCTACATAAATGTCAGAACTAATGTAGATATTTTAAATATATTCATTACAATAAACATCTTTAAAAGCATTTTGTCATTTTTTTGTGAAGTTTTGATAATCCCAATTATGTTATATGCATAAATATAAGGTATTGCATTTATGTGAAACCAAAATTTATTAAAGTTCTAAATAACTTTCAGATCATAACTGTCATTCATGTTTTCTTCCCCAAATTAACTTTAAAAAGCAAAATCTGAGTTGCAATTAGAAACAGTGGTTTCTTGCTTACTTGTGTGTGCTTCTTTTCACTGGTTGTCAACAAATTTCTTTGAGCATGATACTAACAGTCCTGGTATTGGCATGTACCCGAGAAGTAGTTTAAACATATTGTAAAGTTCAAGTTTTGTTATTTGTACTGATTATCTTCACTGCTTGTTGCTAGTTATTGCCAACAACGGATATCAAACACCTGTATGGTGTTCTGGTAAGTTTGTTTATCTTTTTTTGTTATCTCCCTGTATGTGCTGTTATTTTGTTAAAAGACAAAAGCTTTGAGTAAGAAGAGAAAGTTTACTAACTTTCAGATTCTTTGAAGCATTTGTCCAGTTAAGTGTAGTTTCTAACTTTTTTAAATGCTGTTAAATCTGTTAAGTTTTTTCACCCCTTTGTGAGCTTATATTTATCTTCTCTGTTTTCCAAGTTTTTGATACTGTAAATTAACTGCATGTTGATTTCTGTTTATTACGTTTTCTTTACAATCTTGTTTTGAAAAATATGTTACTAGTCTTGCTGCATTTTCTGCCTTTATCTTTAGTTTGGATATATAGTGTAAAATATTGATAGTAAAAAATAAATGTCTGGTTTTGAAAATAACTTCTTATAACATGTTAATTCTCTGTCAATGTTACACATGGATATGTCCCAACAATCAAGTACAACACAAAAATTAGCAGGAGGTGTTAAAACTCAAGTACAGTTGTAGGTTCTTGTAATAAATTTGAAGATTATTGTTTTAGTTTTAACAATTGCCTGATATCATTCTAAAAAGTAAGATTAGTATTGTAAAGGTTCCAGTTGGCCAAAAACATGTCACAGTTCTTCTTAAAGGTTTTCAAAAACCTCATCTCCCATCATTTGTTGGAACAGGAACCCTCTATCCCAGATGGAAGAGGAGAAGAAAGACCATGAGACAAAGATGAAGAGAATGGAAAGAGAGATGGAACAAGTCTTTGATATGAAAGTTAAAGAAAAAATGAACAAACTAAAAGATTCAGAAGCAGATGTAAGTCAAAATCTACAGTATTGGTGGTGATTCAAGGTTTACAACAAGCTACATGAATGGTTGTTTGTCACATTTACATTTTTATATGTTAGTTGCTATAGATAAAGCTGATGGGTGAAAATATTTAAAAAATATAAATTTTAATTACTTTATTTATGTACATAGTTTATCCCGTGTTTATAGCTTAATCGAAGGAGTGAGCAGATGAAAAAAACACTAGAACAGCAAAAACAGGAACTCTATCAGAAGCGAAAGGAGTTTGAAAAAGAAAGAACTGCATTTGAGTTAGCCAACAAGGATATGGACGAGACTCTCCGAAAGCTGGCTCTAGACACTAACTCTAAAGAGTAAGTGTGATGTGCCACTAAATCTAGTTCATGTTGATACTCTATTGATTTAATCAATGAAGTTGTGGTTAATTTACTGATATACTAATTAAAAGTTCAGAACAAGCAATATCCAACATTTAATAGTTCAGGGAGGGGACATGGCAATAACGAAACAATTGTATTAAAGTAATTTATTTACCTTTTACCATTCTAAGAAGCTTCCAGATATTTGTATTGTAATTGTGAAATAATGGACGAGTTATTTGAAACAGGACTTTTACAAGAAACTGTTACGTTATGGTAGTGATATCTGTATTCATAGAAAACCTGTTACACAGGAGCTGCAGATTTATCAAACTTTCTAACACATATGTATTAGACTATACAGTAAATCAAACAATTACTTTTATATAGATATTTTTTAAACGGGAACTGGAAAATCAGATACCTAGTATTTAAAATAGTACACTTGTGGGAGAAAGGTAATAGTGTACCACCATAGACAGTGGTTATTTGTTACACTTAATAAATAGACTTCCCTTTTACCTTGTGTCTTCACTGTGCAAGATAAAATTTAGGAAAGGTGTAATAGTGTATGAATAGTCTTAGAGGTAATGATTATTCCAGTAAGTAAAGCATGTCATCTATTACCTTTTTTTTATTTGGTTCTGAAGGAAATATTCATTTATTGATAAACTCAAAGAGTACTTTCTTAACTTGTAATTTTCAGTGTATGGCCAAGTTTGGATTTGGTTTGTTCTAATACTACTTGTCTATTACGTAAACAACCGAACAAAGTTTTACATGTGAATAAAGTAAGTAAGAGAGAGTTAAATGATGTGGAGCTAAAGGGTAACAGTATGAAGTAGGGATATATCAATGTTCTCTGTAGAAGCAGAATATTTAGAACACCAACGGGCTCTGAAATCCCACTCTCCTTGGCAAAGTGATTGCATGGTTACAAAAGAGAAACATTGAACTAGAAGAAAAAAATGTAATGAGTTGCACATTTCCTTAATAACAAACAAACATGTGTGTTTAGTGAAGGCTAACAGTTGTATATGGGAAGAATGAAACTACTACACTCCCCTGATTCACCTTTTGTTTATACAAACATGTACTTTATTGAGGTTAGCCACAACGGACTGTATTCTGGGTCCTTTGTGACCATACTCTATATCCACCATTAAGAACTCTGTTTATTAACCACTATCCAAATTTCTGTTGTAAGAAGTTTCTGCAAAGGATATCAAGAGTAGTAGTAGTAATGTAAACTGCAGCCAAGCACCAATAATGGATGCTAATTTTTACAGAAGCTAGAAGAGACCCTTCTTCTTTTCTTTCTTTTTCTCTTTTCCATCTAAATGTCTGTTGGGAAAAAATTAAATAATCATAGACCTTTGGAAACTAATGTATAAATACAATACAATGTTATTTCATCCATATAAAAGCCTATTTGGTGGTGTCCAGTGTTATTACTCAAATGAGGGGTTTTTGAACAATGAAATTAACCATGTTTGTGTAAGAGAACTGTAAACCTGTGCACCCATACTTTGTTTGAACAAGACTATATGGAATAGCACATTCTATTTTTTAACTATTGAACAGATTATAACAACAGTTCATTTATTTATTTTTGAGGGAGGTCCCACCTGTCTCTGTGTTTCATTCTGAAATTTTGGTGGTGATAGAGTAAATCTGGATGGACAGCAATTCATCTCCCTAGTGTACTGATGACAAATTATTCCCAAGATCATGTATTTCATCTGAATAGTGAATTACTTAACGGGGTGATGATACTTGGAACAGAACCATGTGTTGTGGAAAGAAAGTGGGCATGTGAGTGCTAATGCAGCTGGATTTCAAGAGTTAATGACATTGCTGCTATATATAAGAATTATAATCACCATTGTATACCATGTACATAAATGTATTTGATGTTTTTAGTCATTGTTTCATGAAGTTTCTTAGTGGTTCACCTGCATTGGTTGTAATATTTTGCCTTCATATCCCGGATACTTTTGTAAATCAAGTTGAATTGTGTACAGTACATCATTAAGATTTCTGGTATATGCTACCTCTTCTTTTTTTGTAGTTTTTAACTGAAGTAAATCTTTTGTGTTTGTCTGAACTACCTTGATATCTGTATGTTTTATATCACACATATATAAGGTTTTGCAGTCTTTGTGAAATGTAGATGTAAAACCTAAAAACCATGAAATAAAATTGCATCATGTGATATTTGTAAAATATACCTGTAATTAAGTGATGTCCAGTTTTAAGTACTATATTTGACATTAAGTTTCAGTTTTATAAGCATTGGTGGTTAAATAATTCTGTTGTTGGAGACATGTAACATGGGAAAACTTTATTGAACATAAGAATATGTGCACATTGTCTTCCATTGCTTTAGTTCAAAGTGAATATTTAACAATGATAAAATTCTTAAGCTTTAGAAATTAGTGTCATGCCAGTAAACAAAATTGCATGTGCATTTTGCCGGTTTCCATTTGTCAACTATGTACTTGTCTTTAATAGTAGATAGTTTAACTTACATGTTTATACTGTGTCAGTTTTTTAGTGTATGATATGTGGAATTCGGAGCAAGCCAAAATCTGAAAATATCTAGAAAGGAATTAAGTTGTTCGAGCAGTGATAATGGATATTGTGTGAGAGTTGTTTCAGTGTAAAACCTTGATGTGATGTTGGTGAAAAGTTTTAAATCTATGTTAAATCCATTTTGAATATTTCACACACACAAAAATATTTTGTATGGTTGACAAATGTGACCACAACTATATATTGGAGGTATAGGTATGGATTAAAAATAACTATTGTAAGTAGAAAGGTACTTCTCTCTCTCTCTCTCCTTTTTTTATTTTTACCTTTAACTGACTTTAAATATACTCCAAACAACTCTTCATTCTCAGAAATGTAGGTCTAGTTATAAAGATCCTCTAACTATTTCAATTTGTTTGAATTCTAACATTCCCAGAGTTCCCAATTCTATAAATTAAGTTTTTTCTTCTTCTTTGGCAACCCTGCTTAACCAACATTCATTAAAAGTTAACTGTTTCTTAGAAATTGCTCAACCTCTGTAACAGAGTTGTACTACACACATCAGGCAAGGGTAATAATCAGGACCAATTATAATAGGCTATGCAGTTAACAACTTATGATTTTCTTTTGAAATTACAAGCATAATTCTTCTTAATTTTTACCATCTAAACCAGCTAGAGTTGACTTACAAAATTTTTCTTTTTGCACGTCTCCAGCAACTTGCTTAGAAAGCCTGCCTCTGCCCAGTATAATTAAATTTCTGTGTGACTATAGAGTCTGTCTCTGACTAAAAATACATGAAGTACAGTACGAGAAAAAACACAGTATTTACATCTTATGCATGCCAGATTTGTGTGATATGTTACCACAAGTTTGCATAAGAAAGTATTGTTTATTAACTGCTTACTCGTGTTGTGAAGGTAAAATAACAGATATTCTGTGTATCTGAATTATTTGGTAATTGTACTGAATACAAAAACAACAGGTTTGTATATTCAATTTTACATGAATCACATTTTCAGTACACAGACATCAAGGAAATATAAAAACTTGTACAACTACCAACCCAGAGAAGGCAGCCAATTTCCTTACTTTGAAGTGTGCATGTTAAAAGTCTGGTTGTAATTTCACTAAATATACTGCATAGATGATACATTTGACTAATTCCTTCAAATCTGGTGAGAAAAACATTGAAAGAGGTGCTGGAACCAGAGACAAAATATTAGTACTAACAGGCTTACCCCAAGAGTCTGGGTCTGCCTTGATGTTTAGGCAAATCTGAAATCAATTTGCAAGTTTCCTTTAAAGTTGCCGATTGACAGCCAGCCAAACATCTTTTGAAAGGGAAGGTATCAAAACTTCCTAAAGTACAATAGTAGACGATAAAAAAGAATAAGATTGGGGGTAGGCTTTAAATCTATCACCATCTGCCTTAATGGCATGTTTTTCATCTGTATGATTAAAATCATGTAGATAATTTCCATTCATCAGGCATTATTTTTGTGTGTGAAATCACTTGGTTGGAGTATAGACTGGAGAGAAACAATCCCATGACAAGTGGACAAAATTCTTGAAATTGTTTCCAATAATTAAGGCCTTTTTTCGTAGAAGTGGAAACATATTTTCAGTTTTATAAGTAATGTTCTCACTTTGTATTGATCCAAAGAACCTGCTCATGTATTACTACGATACAGAACTTATAGATCTCATAAAGTATTACATTAATTTTATAACATTCACGTTTAGCATATATAGTCAAGTAAGTAGCCTGCTATTAAGAAACGTAAAGTGTTTTTATTTCAGTACAATTTTATGACATCATAAGACTTCTTTGTACTTAAATGCAAGTCAGAGGTTCTGTTCAGAAAATTTCATAAAATAAAATAAAAATTTCATCCAACTTTTGTGTCTGACTGAGCTAATGTATTATCTACTATTACCTTTCATAACCAAAGTTTACTGAAGAAAATTCCAGCATTGAAAACAAAGTTTGTTGGATAGACAAAGGTTCGTAGATACTGCCTGTTAAAATAGTGATAGGTAATTTTCCTCGATTTGTACCAGTATTACCTAAATATTTCATTAAATAACCATTTTATACTTAATCATCTGATCATTACAACTATAAGAACTTATGCATAGTATCTATCTAAATATCTTATGAAATGACGTGTTTATAAGTTACCTAGTCTATAATTTTGAATATTGGATCATGAGTCAAATTGACAAAAGTCCAGTTTTTACTTATCCTAGCATTATATATTGTGAATATTTAGAGCCCAAAATGGCATGGCTTAATTGCTTGCCCTTTCAGTAATGGGGGTGTTATAATGGTCAATACCACCC